GACACTTTTGGGGTAGGGGCGTGTTTGTTTTGGTGATTTCAAATATCAACATTGGCTACCAGAAATCGCTTACCCCACCTTTAATGTTGACATACAAAGAGCAACAGTGTTCATCACAGATATCCAGCACTGGATAGTATCTAGATCTGTTACTTCTGTATTAGGAGGAACATGAAAAATGAAGCTTACCTGCATCTTACGGATGTGATCTTTCTCCAGACTCTGAACCATATCCTCCACTGCCTTCTGCACGCGAGCCTGCTGTGCTTCTGCCATTCCTGATCTCACATCAACTGCTTTTATTTTCAGTAAACGTTAGTTATAAAGCTACTACTTCAACCAGCGACTCTACAAAGCCATGACTCAAAACCAACACATTTTACTAACAAACGTCAGGAAATCATTACTAAAATGTTAAAATGTATCAACTTGAAATGAAACCAAAATCCTGCAATTCAACAATTCTTCAGTAAGGTCACCTCCTCCTACTACACCTAACGCATGCTACCGGTAATCACGCCACTTCCGCCGTGGAGTGCGTCCTATTTCCGCTTCCGTACTTCATCCGAAGAACGAATCTGCGGCTGCTGGATTTCACGCACCAGTTTTATGCACTTTATTACCTTTACACTTTATTTTAACTTCTCATCCTGACCTTTAAACAGGTGAGATATATCGTTTTGTTTTTTGTTTTTTACAGCTGCGTATATTTGAACGTGACATGCCTGACGATGTCTGTATGTGAGTCTGACTAGTTTAACAGCAACACGTTTAACTTCTCAACTCATTTGTTTTGCTTCGATGATGAGACTTTGTCCTCTCTGGCTACAGTAGTTATTATCAATGCCATTCATTAAAAATGAGCATTTTTATTACATTTCACATGATCAGACTGTCGAAATTGTCAATTGGATTTCTTCATGCTTGCGTTCAAAAACAGACGGAGCCCAAAGCGACGCGCTTTCAAAGTTGAACCTGCTGAAAGATGCAATGAATTTATTATTGTTTTATGTAAATGAAAACGTACAATTCTAAACAACTCTGTTTATGAGCTAAAGCATAAAACAATCGAAAAGCTGCAGTATATTGCAATATTTATATATCAGTCATTCTTGAGACATGGGACAAAACAGGTCCAGCAAGGGTAACTGCTATTAGGTTTAAAAATAAAAATATTTTCAATTTTAAATGTCATGAGGGATTAATAATAGAATGTATTTAACACAATTATCACCTTCAATTTAATTTTCTCATTATTATACCAAATCTATGTTTCTTTATGTCCTCTCACTACATCTAAAACAGTGTGTCCACAGAGAAGTGTTCAATCATTCATATGCAATAAAATGGATAAAAATGTTTTTTTTTTAATGATGAAAAAGAGCTTGTTTTATCAAAAGCAACACTTAATAATATCTCCTATCAAAGCAAGGTTGTTTTTTAATGACACATGCATGTTTAATACGATTTTAAAGTTGCGTCCCCACTTTTTGTCAACACCATCAGACATTCAATAAAATGTAATAAAATCAGGGAATATCAGGGGCAGCTGTCACTCTAAAGGACCCCCTTGCCACAGTTCACCTCTGCAGAGTACATCAGTCTCAGACAGGCTCTGCTAAGTTTGATAGTTTTAGAATATTTTAAAGGGGTCATATGATGCTGCTAAAAAGAACATTATTTTGTGTATTTGGTGTAATGAAATGTGTTTATGCGGTTTAAAGTAAAAAAAAAACACATTATTTTCCACATACTGTACATTATTGTTTCTCCTCTATGCCCCGCCTTTTTGAAACGCCTCGATTTTTACAAAGCTCATCGGTCTAAAAAGCGAGGTGTGCTCTGATTGGCCAGATATCCAGTGCGTTGTGATTGGCCGAATACCTCAAGCGTGAGACAGAAATGTTACGCCCCTCACCATACTGTGATGATGCCGTGTCCGGCCGGAGCGACAAGACATAAACATTAAAACCCATTACAAACGAGGCATTTGTTGCATCCAGTGGGGACATAATTACTGATTATAATGACTTATACTGTCTTTTTACGCATTGCCTTGCATTGCGCTGCGTAAACATAAAACCATGTCAGCATTTGTGATCAGAGAAATGACAAACAACAAGTGCTAACGTTAATCCACACTGCCCAAAACTCGCGTTTGAATCATCAGTGGCAAATCCTTTAAATGAAAACGTACTTACAGACTGTGAGTCAGAACTGCCGGCATTGTAGTCTACCAGGATCAGGAAACAGTCCTCCATAAAATACGCTGCACACATCTGAATATTTGGGTTGAACTGTTCTGGAACAGTGTTGTAAATACAACTTAACCACTGATTTGTAGTCGTGTCCTCTTTTGGAAGACCAAACAAAGTAGTTTCGCATTCACAACGAAAAACACAGCGGCCTAGCATGAGCGAAAGCCCCGGCTTAGCGTGAGCTGAAGCCGGGCAAGAGTGAGCTGAGGCGGCGGGGTCGAGAACGGCGGTCCCGGCAAAGGAGCGGTGAAAACGGTGAAAGCCAATCCGGCGATCCACAGCACTAAGTTGATGTATTCCCTCAGCGACCAGCACAGATCAGCTCTAGGCATGACGAAGCGGATATCGTCCTCTTTTGGAAGACCAAACAAAGTAGTTTCGCTTTCACAACGAAAAACACAGCGGCCTAGCATGAGCGAAAGCCCCGGCTTAGCGTGAACTGAGGCCGGGCAAGAGTGAGCTGAGGCGGCGGGGTCGAGAACGGCAGTCCCGGCGAAGGAGCGGTGAAAACGGTGAGGGCCGATCCGGCGATCCACAGCACTAAGTTGATGTATTCCCTCAGCGACCAGCACAGATCAGCTCTAGGCATGACGAAGCGGATATCGTCCTCTTTTGGAAGACCAAACAAAGTAGCTTCGCTTTCACAACGAAGCACACAGCGTCTTCAGGACATGGCGGCAGCAGCAACAATACTACAGTGAGAATAAAAGTTACACCTTCTTTCTTTGCGTGAACATTTGGGCGGCGTTATGCAAATCTTCCCACATAGTGAGGTAGATATGTGGGGGCGTGTTCGAACGAGCCGTTTTAGGTAGGTGTGGCTAACTCTTAACTTTTATAAAGAATATCTCTTTGGATTTGAGACTTTAGTCTTTGCAACTTTACAGATCTTCTTTATGCACCAAGAGCTTGTAACACTCCAAAGAGAAAGGAAAAAATAAAATCGCATCATATGACCCCTTTAAAAACAGCGCCGACTGAACACTGTTCTGTTCATATTCAGTTTAAAGTCATAGTTAATTAAAAAAGTTACAATATTTATTTGATAAATAAATAATTATATAATTTATGTATATTTAACTATATAAATATTAAACATTGACATATACAGCTTTTACAGGATAGGTTTGAATATGGAAGATGTATAGTTTCCTGTTCACATTCTGTTTCATACGATTGCATCATCTTTAGGGTTGGGTACCGAAACCCGGCACCGGTACCTATGTAACCGGTATGTACTAGAACCGAATCAGAAAGCAGATTTCGGTGCCTCATTTCGGTGCCATGCCTGAGCGATCGATTGAAATATTTGTCCTCTGGTTCTCCAAAACAGATGTAAGCAGCATCATCACCGGCACCGCATGTGAAAAAACATTTCCGACTGAGAAAATGCACGTGAACTCAAGTCAGAAAGCTCTAATAATACAAATCCAACACATATTTGTAGTAACGAGAGTGTCCATGTTGTTTTCACATTCCGGCACAACTCCACAACTCGGGAAATGAGAGCATCCGAGGAGCGCGTGAATGCAGTAATTACACTTGCTCTGATGGCAGCAGGTAGCCTTCCGTTAACTAAGCTAAACATGCTTAAATTAAAATGCCTAAAAGCTAAACCTCCCTTGTATTCACATAGGGATGTAACGATTTGACGATAAATCATGATAAAATTCTCGACTGTTAGTATTACCGTTTCATATTTTAATTATCATTAAAACCGTATTAGATTACCGC